GCTAGAAGTCTTGGGAAAAGGATTGCCAGTCTGGTTGGCTCTCATGAAGGCTTTCCTTTAGGATACAGACAGCTTCCGTCTCCCCATTGTCAGTGGAGTGAAAAACCTAAGCTCTCTGGTTCCGCTTCTTCAGAGAATGCCAAACCATAATTGGACGTTACCCCTTGGCCTTCTGTTATATTACCTCCCAAAGGCCCTGCCTGCAGTTCCTCTCCTAGTGAAGGATTGGAGTCAGTGCAGGAGACAGTTATTCTAGATTCCTGTTTCTCTTAATGAAGGTTTTTTTGGGGGGTGGGGTGGGGTTAAGTAGCTCTTTGAGTATCTTTGGATGGTAAACTCTCTGCATGTCTAAAAATAATTTAATTTAGTCCTTACTCAGAACTGTTTTAACTGATTAATTCTAGTTTCATATGAATTTTTTATAACCCTTTGAAAGTAGTTTTTCATTATCTGCAAAATTATTCCTTCTAAAGAGCCAATTATTTTATCTCTACAGTTTTTAATGGTTTTAATCCTGGTCATTAGGACATATTTAGGTATGCTTTTATTTTTACTCATGCTAAATAGTTGTACTTTCAGTCATTAAGAAGTATCTGAGTTCAAGGCAAGCCTGGTCTATAAAGTAAGTTCCACGACAGCCAGGGCTACACAGAAAACTTGTCTCAAAAATGAAAAAGAAAAAAAATGAATAAAATAATCTTACCAAGGTATATGGTGGCACATGACTTTAGTCCTAGTTCTTGGGAGGCAGAGTCAGTCAGTTCTATGTGAGTTTGAGGCCGCCTGGTCTACATTGTGAAATCTAAGCCGTCACCCAGGGCTACAGAGTGAGACCATGTCTCAGAATAACAAACAGGTTGGCATCCTTAGTAGGGATAGGACTGGGAACTAAATGCAAATGGCCCTGCTGTCAAGGATGGAACTGGTCCAGAAACATTACAGCCCTACTGATAGTTGTTACATTGTTCCTGGCAACCCCCAACAAGCACAAAGACATTTTCCAGGTTCACTCAAATAAAGAAAAGCCTGAGAGAATTCAGCAGATTATTAAAAAGAGCCATTGAAGATGCTGACTGAATCATGAATAAATATTAAAAGAAATAAAAAACAAAACTCCAAGAATCTGCAGCTCTCAACCAGGCAGTCCTACAGACATTTGAAGTTCAGAAGCCCGTCTTTGGGAACTAAGCAATTCTAGAATGTCCTTCGGCCTTGTTAGCTACAAGCAAAATGTCATAGGAGAAGATGATATTAGCTCAGGTGGCCATGTTACTAGCATCTTTTATATTGGCTCTTCCATCCAGGAATGGTAGGATTTGAGGGGAATACAGTGTTTTGTCTGTCTCTCCCTTTTTCCTTCCCTCCCAGTCACAATTTTTCTGTTCTTTTACTGTGAAGACAGTTCATTCTGAGCCACAAAGCCAATGTCACCTCAGATGACTTCTTATACAGAGGAAACCAGGCTTCAGAATCAGGCAGCTATGGATCTGAATCCCAGACCATACACAGCTTCTCAGGTGCTGCCTGTTACTCAGTTTCCTCCTAGGGAAGGACTGAATGAAAAGAAAATGAAGCATAACACAGGCATTGTACATAGAACCTTGAGAGTAAGCTACAGCGCTGTTCCCGCTCCCACTTCTAGCTTTACTCTTTCATACTCTGCATCTTCTCTTAATTACTCGTCTGTGAGTTTGTCCTGTCCCAGCTCAGAGCTTCACCAGCCATATTTGTACCAAGGCATGCCCTGCAATCTGCCAAATTCCTGACCCTTGCCCAAAGAATGAAGTCCTGGTCCTTGAGGTTGTAACATATAATATGCTGGATGGAAATATACTCAGCCAGCAGGATGAGCTGTTGCCTGCTTGTGTCCTTTGGTTATGTGAGTTAGACATCTGCCTCTGCAAAACTGATTAACAAATAAGTAAATGTATCAATTTGTGACAGTTCAGGAAAAAAATCTTACCTTTTAAAATATCCCTTTACATCAGTGACTCTCAAATTTCCTAATGCTGTGACCCTTTAATATAGTTCCTCATTTTGAGGTGACCCGAAATCATAAAATTATTTTTGTTTACTACTTCAGTTGTAATTTTGCTACTGTTATGAATCATAATGTAAATATCTGTTTCCTGCTAGTCTTAGGTAACCCCTGTAAAAGAGTTGTTTGACTCCCAGAGAGGTTTTTGACCCACATGTTGAAAACTGCTGCTTTGCATAATTTCTTCTTTTCTCTTTCTGAATTCTCTGGCATTATTATGATAGAATGTTTGTCTTCTATGAAAACCTCTCCTTAACTTTTTTTTAGTATAATCTGTATTCAAATGATATGAACAGGTAACTGAGGGTATAGTTTGACCCATTCCCAGTTTGATCCATCTCAACAGATGAATGTAATAGACACCTCATCGAGCTCTAGAACACTTCTGTCGCCCCCAAAAAGTTGCTTCATACTCTTTGAGGTCACCGTTCCTTCTACAAAGCAGCTCTTGATTTTCTTTCGTTATAGATTAGTTTCTCCATCTGGACAGACCTATAATCCCAGTGTTTTGGAAATGAGATTGAAGGATTGTTATGAGTTCAAGGCCTATCTGGGCTACAGAGTGAGGCCCTGTCTGAAAAACAAAAAAGCAAAAGAAAAAAAAAAAGCTACATGGTGGTGAATGCCTTTAATCCCAGCACTCTGGAGGCAGAGACAGGATGATCTCTCAAGGCCAGCCAGGGCTACACAGTGAGACTCTGCCTCAAAAAAAATTTTAGAAGCCAAAAAAGAGGTGTATATTTATGTATATGTAATTCGTGTGTGTGTGTGTGTGTGTGTGTGTGTGTGTGTGTGTGTGTGTGTGTTTTCACACCTGTAGATCTTTTTTTTGTTTGTTAGTTTGTTTTTTCCAGACAGGATTTCTCTATCCTGGAACTCTGCCTCCTGAGTGCTGGGATTAAAGGCGTGCACCACCACCCCAGGCTCACACTTGTAGATCTTTATTGCAATGCAATATTAGGCTTGTGGAAGGTGTAGAGTGGTAGAGTGATTGCCTGCCTAGCATGTGCAAGGTCTTGAGTTCCCCAGCACTTAAGTTTGTCAGTCAATAATTTTAAAATTCATTTTTTGTGTGTCACCATTAGCTCTTATTAAAATACTTAAGAAGTAAATTTAAATCATGTTGTGAAAGTCCTATAAAACACTGGTTTAATGATACCTTTAATACCTTTAATCCCAGCCTAGTCTACAAAGAGAGTTCCAGGAAAGCCAGGGCTACACGGAGAAACCCTGTCTTTAAAAAAAAAAAAAAAAAAAAAAAACAAAGAGGAAAATATTGTACCACAAAAATTATTTTTCTCCTGGGACTGAAGATTGAACCTAGGCCCTTATCCCTGCTGAGTAAGAGCTCTACCACTGAGCTCTTTCCCAAACCTCTTTATTAAAAATAAAATTGTTTCGGGAAAAAAGAAATGACATGTGAACTATATTCCCTTGTTGGGTTTCTTTGATTCATCATACTGTTTCTGAGATTCATCCATGTTGCATATAGTGTTAATTCTTTTTTTAAAAAATATTTTCACGCCGGGCGGTGGTGGCGCACGCCTTTAATCCCAGCACTCGGGAGGCAGAGGCAGGTGGATCTTTGTGAGTTTGAGGCCAGCCTGGGCTACCAAGTGGGTTCCAGGAAAGGCGCAAAGCTACACAGAGAAACCCTGTCTCGAAAAAAAAAAAAAAAAAAAAAAAGAAAGAAAAAAATATTTTCACTAATTTGAGGGTTTCATGCAATATATTTTGAACATATTAACTCCCCCTAATATTAATTCCTTCTTTTTGCTAAGTAGTTTGTGTTGCTAAGTGTCTACCAATTGAATTGTTTTTCTATTGCTGGAGACCTGGGCTACTTCCAGTTATTATCTGTAATGAAAGCCGCTATATACATTTTATTTATTTATTTGTTTATTTTTACATTTTATTTGTTTTACATGTGCACACATGCACCTATGGTCAGGACAGTTTTGTAGAGGTTGATTCTCTTCTATCATGTGGGTTCCAGAAACCAAATCATCCCTAGGCTTAGTACTAGGCACCTTTATCCACTGCCCACTGTACCATCTCGCTGGCCTCTGAACATTGGTTTTTATTTTAGATTGTTACTGATTTTTTTTTTAAGTTTATGTATATGTATGAGTATGTGCCTGAGGAGGCCAGAAGAGAGTATGGGATTGCTTGAAGCTGGAGTTACAGGCTGTTGTGAGCTGCCCAGCATAGTTTCTGGGTTCCAAATGTAGGTCCTCTGAAACAACATCACATGCCAGGCCCGCATGTGGGGGCCAAAGTACAACTTTCAGAGTCAGTTTTCTCATTTCATCCTGTGGATCACAGGGATCAACTTAGGTAGTCAGGCTTCATGGCAAGCATCTTTCCCACAGAGCCTCCTTGTGGACCACCTGAACATTCTTATACAGGTTTTTTTCCTGCACATATTTTCTAGGGTTTTTTTTTGGGGGGGGGGGGGGGCGTTAAAATTCCTAGGGACAAAATACTATAGGTATACGTTTACATTGATAAAGACACATATTTGGCTTTTAAAAACTGCCACTTTCATATTTTAACTATTACAATGAACTCTGTATGAAAATATCTTGTGGGGATTTTTAGAATCCTGTTTTTTGTTTTTGAGTCAGGGTCTTTCTCTGTATATCTCAGGCTGGCCTTGGACATCATGGTCATCCTGCCTCACTCTTCCAGTCAAAGGATTTTAGGTCTGTACTGCCATTGTTTGTTTGTTTTTGTTTGGTTGGTTCGGTTTTTTGGTTTTTTGTTGTTGTTGTTGTTGTTGTTTTAGTATTTAAAGACAGGGTTTCTCTGTAGCCCTGGCTGCCCTGGAACTCACTATGTAAACCAGGTTGACTTTGAAGATCCCCCTTCCTCTGCCTCCCAAGTGCTGGGATTAAAGATGTGCACCACAACCTCCCAGCTTATACTGCTGTTGTTAATGCTGTTTTCCCTTCTTTTTCAGACCAGATGATCGCCATGTTTGGGTACTAACATTCACATATATTGATATTGGATTTGAAAATGGCAGAGGGAAACAACAAAGAGGAGGTCATTCATTTGAACAACTTTCACTGCCACCGGGGAAAGGGTAAATTGCTTGTCCTTTCCCCCTTTACTCAATACTTTTTATTGTGATAGTGGTATCTTCTTTGACATGAACCTGTTCTGTACCATTTATAAATCGGAGAGATTCCACTGTTAGACCTAGAACATCAGGCATAAAATGTCGAACTAGAATTATGCAGATTTGTACTGTAGTGATTTGCCCCTAGAGGTGTTTGAGGAAATGGAGATCACACAGGAGCACTCTGGACCCATCAAATCTAAAATTAATTTGACAGTGCTAGGAATTCTTGTTCTTAAATACTTAATTTCTTTTCTTTTTTGCTGTAGGATTCTGACTTAGCCTAATTGAGAATGTTAAGGCATAGTTCTATTTCTTTTCTTTTTGTTTTGTTTTTCGAGACAGGGTTTCTCTGCGTAGCTTTGCGCCTTTCCTGAAACTCACTCTGTAGCCCAGGCTGGCCTCCAACTCACAGAGATCCGCCTGGCTATGCCTCCCAAGTGCTGGGATTAAAGGCGTGTGCCACCACCCGGCTTAGTTCTTTGTTTTATAGTCCTTAAAATTTTGACAAATTCATTGATTTGCAAAGAGCAAAAGAGTACCTGCATTTCCATAACATTTCCTAAATGTATGAAATTTCTTGTCAAATCTGAATGTATATTTATTTATACTTGGTCTAAAAGAGAAAAAAATCATACTGATAAAGAGAATTCTTAATGTATTCATTTTTTTTAGTACAAATTCCATGAAAAGGCTAAGCTAGCTTGTTTTTTCTCTTGATATTTTAAGGTTGTGAAGATGATTTTTTTTTCCTATTATGAAATAAGGCATGTGCCCTTAGCACATCTGAAGTGTAGGAAATTTTATTCAGTGAATAAATTTAGAGGAAACAGGCTTTCAGATGTACAAGTTATAAGTACAAAATAAATACTGAATTTAAGATTTTGTTAATAATGTATTACGATTTGATAGTGATTATAGCCATAACTTGTGATTCAGAAAGTTTGAAATCTTGGCTGTAATTTGTGCACACATTTTTTTTTATTTCTGTACATGTATATTGAATTATTGTTAGAATTTTTAATTGGGCCTTAAATATGGTTGAATAGTTTTCTTCAAAAACCATTACTAGGCTGGGTGTGGTGGCACATGCTTTTTTAATCCTAGCATTCAGAAGGCAGAGGCAGGTGAATCTCTTGTAGTTTGAAGCCAGTCTGGGCTGCATAGTTCCAGAATAGCCAAAGCTACACAGTGAGACTCTATCTCAAAAAAAACTCCATAGATAGACAGGCAACTACTTCCTTTTGGAAAATTATTGACTTTGGAAATGTATGTTTTGTTCAACAAATATAAACACGCTATACACATCATAAGGATGTTTGTCTGATGTGTAGTGTTGATTAACAATTTTTTTGTGTGCCAATCCCTTAAGCTTTTTCTTAAGAGTTCTAAAAAGTGAACTTGGGATCTTACAATTGTGACCAGACCATTTCTGCCACACTATGAAGATTCCTCTGTGTTTCTTTGCAGTCTTGCTTCATTCCTTCTTGACCTCAGGAGGCCACTAATCTGCTTTGTGTCACTACTCATAAATGAAACCACAGTACACTTTTTGGGGGTTGGGAGCTAGAATTCTTTTGCCCAGCATATTGGAATTAAGACAAATCAATTACAAGTTATTATTTTTAAGATTTATTTATTTGGATGTTTTGTCTGCATGTATATCTGCACATCAGAAGAGGGCATTCGATTCCATTATAGGCAGTTATAAGTGCTGGGAAATGAACTCAGGACTTTGGAAGAGTTGCCAGTGCTCTTAATCACTGAGCCATCTTTCCAGCCCCACAAGTTCTTACTCTTATATATGTAGAAGATAAGAATAGACTTGAGGCAGCAGTGACACACCTTTAATCCCAGCACTCAGGAGGCCAAGGCAGGTGGATCTCTTGAGTTCAAGGCCAGCCGGGTCTACAGAGCAAGTTTCAGGACAGCCAGGGAGACACAGAGAAACTCTGTCTCGGGGGAAAAAAGAAAGAAAAAGAATAGACTACAGACTAACCCATCACAATGGAAATTGGTGTTTTGAAGAAAATTTAAGAACTAAAAATGCATGTATTATATATCAAGTAAAGCTGGGAAATTAAGAGTCCAAGTCAGGGATCAGCAGATATTAAGGTCCAAATAATCCGTACCGCCTTGCAGACCATGTGTCTCTGTTGCATCAACTTAGCAATATGATTTGTCTCCTAAGATGGAACATATGCTTACCCTTGTGACTCAGCATTTCCATTCCTAGAATGTTCCCAACTGAAATGAGCACACCAAAGCTTGTATATAACAGTAGCATCCAAAATAGCCCATATTAGCACCAACTCAGATGTCCATCAAGGGAAGAATGAATAATTTATGATGTATTCACAATGCAGATTCACATGTAGCAAAGAGAACTACCATCATAGCAGTAGGGATGTATCTCAATCATGTGCTTTGCAAGAAAGCCAGATACAGAAGAATCCCTACTTAGAAACAACCAAAACTGTGTAGAATTTAAAAAGTCCTCCTTTTTAATGAGGAGGATAGAGGACAGTGTTGAGAAGAGGCACAAGAAGGGTGCGAATGGGCTAGAAATAGTCTCTGATCTTATCGTGGTTACATGGGCATTTTGTGGCAATTCATGGAGCTAAACCCTTGATTTGTAGTGTTTGCTTGCTTAAGACTATACAGTGAGTTCCATCCTAGCCTGAACTACAATTTAAGACCCTGTCTAAAAGGAAAAACAAAGTTAGGGCTAGGGATCTGCTCAGTAATTGTGCTCCTGCCTAGCATGCATGAAGCCCTAGGAGACAGATAGCTCAGTGGGTAAAATTGCCTGCTGTGTAGGACCTTTGTTTGGTTTCCTACTCTGTCCCCAGAACCCACCACATAAAGCCAGACATGATAGTGCATGTCTGTAATCCTGGTGGTTCTAAAGCAGACGGGAGGTAGAGACAGGAGAATGTCTAGAAGTTTTCAGGCCAACTAGTCTGATATATATACACAGCAGTGAACAAGAAACCTCCTCAGACACAGTAGGAAGCAAGGACTAACAACATCTGATGTCCTCTGACCATGTGCCCTCGTGTCACTTTCACACAGGAACTCATGTGCTCATATACCACAGAAATTTATTTATTTAAAAAAAAAAAAAAAAAAGACTTGGCACAACATTGTGTACCCATTATCTTACTGCTGGGGATTTGGAGATAGAAGGGATCCTAAGACCTCACTGACCAGTCAGTGTGGCTGAATCAGAGAGTGTTCCAGGTTTAATTCTGTCTCTAGAAAATAAGGTGGAGAGTAATTGAGGATGACACTTGATATTCCTCCTCTATCCTTCACACACAAGTGCTTATGCCCCGCCCCCACTCAAATGCATAATAAAAAAAAATACTTTAAGAAAAAGGTAATAGATATCCCCCAAATAATGAGGAAATAGTCCCCACGGATGGATCCACACCCACCCATAAACAGAATAGAGAGAGGGAGAAAAAAAACTATTGTCAGCCCTCTTCATCTGCAGAGCTGAGTCTTTGGATTTAACTATCAGTGGGTTCATTTAAAAGAAGAGCAAGCAAGTTAAATTGTCCAGTGTCACAGATGCCAGGTGATTGCTGGGTAGATGCTGAGTAAGTGTTTAATTCAAATGGGAGTTTTGTTTAAATAGTTTATGTATAAAGTAAGCTGATATTGAGTGATAATTTTTTCAGATGTAGCTGTTTTAAATTAACAAAACAGTCTTTAATTTCTTTAAGGAGTAAACTGGCAGTTCTATGACAATGTCATAATTAAAACAATTTCATATGTGAAATTTGCATTTGGCCTGAGCCCATTTAGGAAAGTTGATTTTGTGTTTGTTTTTGAGGCAAGTTCTCACTCCCTCAGGCTAGGTTCCAAAACTTTCTATGCCCAGAGGATGGCCTTGAATTCCTTTGATCTTCCTGAGTCTTAGAATCTCAGGCATGTACCAAGGTAGCCAACTAAAAAGAATGGATTAAATGCCTGTATTCTTAGTACTTGAAAGGCTGAGGCAGAGGATTGCCAGGAATTTGAGGCTTGTCTGGTCTGCATAGCTAGCCAGCCATGGCTGTAACATAAGACCCTAACATAAAACAAAACAAAAAAAAAAACAAAAAAAAAAAAACAAAAAAAAACCTTCAGGTTTCTCCCACCTAACATGAAAAAAAATTGATACATATTGAGCATTTTGTCTGGCATCTCTCAGTGTTATTGGCAAAAGTCAACATGGAAACAGTTCTTATTGCTTGAGTCTCTGTGTGCTTGAGGTGGTAAGTTAACTGTTAGTAGCTTTGAGCTTGGCTTGAGTCTTGGGCTAACGGTGAATGTAGGGACTGAATATGTTCATGCTAGCCTCACAGTGACCATGTTTTCTGCCTCCCTGTAGAGTGGATGCGTGTCAGAGATGGGCCCATCACCATATCTGACTCCTCTGATGAGGAAGGGATTCCAATGCTGGTTACCCCAGCTACTGAGCAACATGAAGATGATGACTTGGATGATGATGTCATACTGACAGAAGTGAGTGTTTTATGAACTTGATGCTGACTTCATAAGAATAGTTTGTTTTCTTTATTTTTTTATGGTTTTGAATATATAAATAGAAAACAAATAAAGCCTGTTCTTTTTACTTCTACTGTAGGTTTTCCAGTTTCCTTTTCATTTTGCATATTTGTGTCCCCCTTTTTTCTGCCCCCCCTCCTTTTTTTGTTGTTGTTGTTTGACAGGGTCTCATTGTATAGTTCAGCTGACCTGGAACTTTTATATAGAATATATAGAACAGGCTGACCTTGAAATTATAGAGTTAACCTCCTAATTATAGAGTTAATCTCCTAAGTTGAGTGCTTGGACAACCACACTGTTTTCTCCTGATTTGGGGGAGTTTTTTAGTTTGTTTGTTTTTTAATTTATTTATTAATTATGTATACAGTGTTCTGCCTGCATGTATGTCTGCATGCCAGAAAAGGGTACCAGATCTCATCATAGATAGTTGTGAGACACTTTGTGGTTGCTGGGAATTGAACTCAGGACCCCTGTTTTCACTCCTTGCTTTTAATAATTTCATTTTATGTGTCTGTCTGTGAGAATGAATATCACTTTTATGCAAGTGTCTTTGGCCAAAAGAGGACATCAGATCCCTTGGAAATGGAGTTACAAGCATTTATTTGTGAGCTGCTTGATATAGGTGCTAGGAACCAAACTGGTCTTTTGGAAGAGCATCAAGTGCTCTTAACAGTTGAGCCATCTTTTCAGCTCATTCCCTTTGTTTTATTCATTCCTTTACCAAAGAAACAGCTCTGAAATTTACCTGGTAGTGCTCGCATTTGTTTTCTCATGCATGGATTTCTGCTTTGGTATTTAGTAGTACTCTTCTGTTTTATCATGTTTGTCACACTTCGTTTATTATGTGGTTTCTTTACTACTTTAGTTGTTCATTTTGTGTGGGTTTTTTTTGTTTGTTTGTTTGCTTGTTTGTTTTTTCAAGATGGTTTTTCTGTGTAACAGCCCTGGCTGTCCTGGAACTTATTCTGTAGACCAGGCTGGCCTCAAACTCACAGGGATCCACCTGCCTCTGCCTTCTGAGTGCTGAGATTAAAGGTGTGCACCACCACACCCAGTTGCATATTTATCCTCTTATTACAATCACATTGCAAATTAATGACTGCAAGCATATTATGCATGCTTTTAGTTTGCATAAGTGGTTTTAATATAAATTGAGAATTATACAAATATTACCATAATCAATTTCAGAACATTAACATTTAGAATATTTTAGAACATTTACACCCTAGAATCATCAGTTAGTCCTACCTGTTTCCTACTATATTGCCCCCATTCTCCACCCTAAGCAAATACTGATCTATAGATCTACATTTTTTAGAATTTTCATCTAAATTGTGTAGTATTGTACTTGCCTTCTATAGCATATTTTCAAGTTTCATACATACTGCAGTGTATATTATTTAGTTCCTTGTATTATTTTATTACATTTTATTTGATGTGTGTACATGCATGGCACACGTGGAAATTAAAGGACAGCTTGAAAGAGTCAGGTTCCTTCTTCCACCATGTTGGTAGTAGGGATCAAACTAGGTCAGTTCATCAGTGTAAAGCATATAAATCAATAGCTTTTAGTATGTTTAGTCTTGTATTTGTCATTACAGAACAATTTTAGAATATTTTCATCACCTTGTGAAGAAAACCTGATTTATTAGCTATCATCTCCAGTCACTTGTCCTAGGCAACCATTAATCTAACTTCTGGCTGTTCTTATTGCCTATTCTGGATATTTCACATAAATAGAATCATATATTAATTATATGGTTCTTTGAAGTCTTTCACTTAGCATATTAGTGTTTTATTCCTTTTTAAATTTTTTTTCCTATTTTTGATGGTGTGTGTACATGCGTGCCCCTGCACGTGGTTTTATGCTTGTGAGTGCAGATGCCTGCAAGGTCAGAGGATTCAGATCCTTGAGGAGTGGGAATTACAGGTAGTTGTGAGCTTTCCAATCAGAGTTCTGTGAACTAAATTCTGTCCTCTGTAAGAACAGTATGTGTTCTTAATTGCTGTATCATCTTCTCTAGCTCCTATTTTTTTGGTTGAGGTGTGGGAAGGAGCATTGAGACAGGGGCTCTCTATGTAGTCCTGGCTGTCCTGGAACTTTCTGTGTAGACCTCACTGGTCTTGAGCTCCTATTCCACCTGCCTCTGCCTCCGCCTCCCAGTGCTTGGATTAAAGGCATGGATGGGCCTATCTACCAGGTCCTATTTTATTCCTTTTTATTGCCAAGCAATATTCCATCATGAACCTATATCATATCTTGTTTATGTACACAACAGATAATGGTCATTTGAATTGTGCTTTTAACTCTCATGAATAATGTGTAGTTCTGCTTGAAACATTTATGTAAAGGTTTGTATATGACTGTATATTTTCATTTCTATTTTTATATGCCAAGAAGTAGAGTTGCTGAATCACTCACAAACTGTTAAATCCCACCAGTAGCTATGCCATTTTACATTCCTACTAGCTTTAATTTTCTCTGTGTTCTTGTCAATCTTTTTATTGTGACTAGATGATACTGATTTTTATGATTTGACTTACACTTCCCAGTGGCCAGTGCTTCGAGTTGTACGCATGTGCGGACAAATGGACAAATGTGAGGGTCCATTCACTTATATACATATGGAGGCTTTAGGGGTTGTTGTTGTCTTCCTCTGTTGTTCTCTACCTAATTTTTTTGATGCTGTCTCTCACTGAACCCAGAACTCACCATTTTGCCTAGACTGGTTAGCCAGGAGGCCATTGCAAACTGTCTGTCTCTACCTCCTTGACATTGGGATCACCACATGTACTACCTAACCCAGCATTTTATCTGTGTGCTGGGCATTAAACTCAGGTCCTTGTGCTTGTGTGAAACACTTCAAATACCTGAGTGAGCTGTCTCCTCAGCTTCTACTTTGAGTCACATATACTGTAGTTTGATCAATTTTCAATATTAAAATAAATGTGAATGATGTTTATGACATGTATGCCTTTAATCCCAGCACCTAAAAGGCAGAGGCAGGTGAGTTTGAGGCTAGTCGTGAGTACATAGTGAGACCCACCCTACCTTAAAAAAGATGCGATAGTTTTTTTCTCAGGGGATGCTTCTGCTTTTGTTTCTTTCCTGTCCTTCACTGTCAGTACAGAAGCAGGCATAGATACAGGAAAGAAACTGAATTTTTATTATGAAAATTTCATTTTTTTTCTTAGAAACATAAACCTCAGACATCCCGACCCAATCTCATCAAACCAGCTGCCCAGTGGCAAGATCTGAACAGATTGGGAGAAGAAAGGCCTAGAAAGTCTAGAGCAGACTGTGAAGCAGATACCCACAACTATTTTTCCTTTTGTAACAACTCACTGTTTGGTTCTGGGGCGCAGGATGATTCTGAGGATGAATACGGTGAATTTCTGGATCTTGAGAGTGGCAAAAAAGGAGAAACCAAATCTGGACCAAGCCATAAGCAGACAGCAAACAACATTGTCAACCCCAGTTTGGAGCAGAACATCATTATATTGGGAGAAAATGGCCTCCTTTTCCCAGAAAGTGAGCCTTTAGAAGCTCAGAACCAATCATCTGAAGACTCAGAGACAGATCTCTTATCAAATCCTGGAGAACCAACTGCCTCAGTAGACGACCAGGTAATCGAAGAAGAGTACTGGCTTGACCATCCATACTTCCAGGCTCTAAATCCACAGCCTCAGGAGATAACAAACCAGGTTGTGCCCCAAGAGCGGAATTCTGAAGCAGAAATGGGCCCAATGTTCTTGCGCCATGATTTCCCAGAGCCAGCTTTTCCTAGGCCAGCACCCCAACAAGAGGGAATTCCAGGCCCTGCTTCTCCTCAGCCAGCTCATCCTCTGGGAGAACTTGAAGACCAGCAGTTAGCAATTGATGAAGACCCTGGGCCAGCTTTCCCCCTGCCAGGATCTCAGCAAGCCAATTTGGAAAACATGTGGGGACAAGAAGCTGCTGAAGCAGATCAAGAACTCATTACACTATTAGTGAAAGAAACAGTAAGTTTATTTCTTTTATTATGATTTAAGTAATACTGTACTATTAATATTCATACTGTTCTCTGTTCTATCATTGCAGTAAACAAATAAGTGCCTTGTGTAAACTTTATTTTCCTAAGAAGTATATCTCTAGAGTAAAAGAAAGGAGTCCAAATATCTCTGAAACCTGCAACCCAGATTGTGCACTCTATCCTCAGGAAGTGCTCTTGGTGCAAGCTCTATTTTGTGGCGCCTGGTGCTGGCATTCCTGTAAACTCCTGTTTATAAAAGCCCCTGAGTTCTTCTTGATTTGCTTTCCTACATCTGGACCATCTAATATAGCAGCCACTAGGTAGTACCTGTGGGTATTTACATTTAAATCTCTGACAACTGAATAAGGTAACAAATTCTGTTTCCAGTCCATCAGTCATTTTAATAGTCACAATTCTATAGGATACTTGTAGTAAAGAGCACAGTAGGTCTTTGTTTTCTAGGGTCAGCTTGTTTGCTTTCCCTGAGTCTCTTAATTCGCTGCCTCCTTTTATTTGACACTGTAAGGTGTGTCCTTGAAGGCAGCCATGGGGATTATGTCTTTCTCATCTCTGGCCTGCATATTCAGTATTTATTTGAAGAATGAAGACTGGAGCAATAAAATGAGACAGAGGATAGATGACCCCCAAAGCCTTTCTAGACCTCATCTGTATTATCTAACCTGGGAACTAAGGGCTGATTTTTAAGCCAGACACAGAACTACTTTACAGCTATTCTCTGTTCTTTAGGCATTTTATATACTTTCTGCCATATAATTTTTATTGCCTTCCAGAACCATTCTGAGGAACAAAATATAAGTAATATTTATTCCTTTCTAGGAAGCAAGATTTCCAGATGTAGCAAATGGATATGTTAAAGAGATAATTCATTTAAAGAATTACTATGATTTGAATGTGTAAGTATTACACCATGCTTGCTCACGTGCTCGCACTCTCTCTGTCTCTGTCTGTCTGTCTCTCTCTCTCTCTCTCTCTCTCTCTGGTGGTAAAGTATAGGTAACATTTTGGCCATTTTTAAGCATACACTTGGATGTTGTTAAACACATAACTCATTATTATGTAGCCCTCTCAACTATTGATCTCCAGAAATTATATCATCTTCTCAAGCTGAGACTCTACCCTTTGACCACTTTAACTTCCTCATCTCCTCTCTAAGCCCCCAAGCTTAGGAAAATCACAGGCAGATTCAGATGCAATAGTTTACAATGTGCGTAAAAATGTACATAGGCTCGGAAGAGAGAGAGAAAAGGGAATATATACAGTTGTATTAAAAAATAACATAGTTTTTAAAAATAAAGTCTTTAAAGAGACAGTAAAGGTAGTATAAAAAATAAGCTACATAAAGATAGATATTACACAGAGAATCTGGATTGTGTTGTCTTTGGGATTTTTAACTGCACAAAAACATTTGATTGTAAAAGCTGTTGAGTTACGCCAATATGTATATTTTAAAGATACCTTGACTTCAAAATTTGGATCTAAGGATATTTGCTTTGAATTTGATTATTCTAGGCATCTCTTATCCATGAAATCATAAAGCATTTGTCCTTTTCTGACTGAACAAACTGAGAGAAGAAAGGCCCTGGACCAGACTTGGAAGAGATGCATGCAGCTAGTTTCCATGTCTCTTGAGTGATCCTCTTCTTTAATTGTTTTTTGAGACACAGGGTCTTTTTGACTGGGCTACTCACCTGCCTCTGCCTCCTGAGTGCTGGGATTGATTAACAGTGTATGCCAATACACCCACCTTCTCATTGTCCCTAACATGATACCTCTTGTAGATCCTCTCACCTGGGTAAGAAGAGGAACATGGAAAGGGACACCTTTTCTTTTTTCTCTTCTGACCATATCTGTCATATTGTTAAGGGCCACACTACTAACACTGGACAAGAAAGGAACTGGGTCAGAGTTTTTAAGAGAAGGGATCATTCTACAAATATGCCCAAGCAAGGACAGAAAAAGAACACAGAGAAAATTCTGATTCCCTATGAGCTGACACTTTGTTGCTACTGAGCCCTACCCAGGACAGCTTCACCACTGCTGTGCTGTACTGTCCTCTGTCTAGCCTTCTGATTTGACTTGGTTACTGGATTAAAAGCCTGGATAGTTGATTTGCTTGACTCTTCACACTGTGTCATTGTGGGTTAGCTTGAAGAATTTCAACAATGATGTACAGAATTATATTCAGCTATTTATCACAGCAACACATCTTCACACAGTGTAAAATATCCCACAACACTCACTCCTATAGATATGCTCAAAGTATTTTGGGTTTTTCAAGACAGGATTTCTCTGTGTAGTTTTGGTGCCTATCATGGATCTCGCTCTGTAGACTAGGCTGGCCTTGAACTCAGAGAGATCCAAGTGCTGGGATTAAAGGTGTGCGCCACTGCTGCCTGGCTCTGCTCAAAGTGGGTTTTTTTGTTTGTTTGTTTGTTTGTTTTGGTTTGTTTTGTTTTGGTTTTTTGAGACAGAGTTTCTCTGTAGTTTTGGTGCCTGTCCTAGATCTCACTCTGTAGACCAGGCTGACCTCGAACTCACAGAGATCCGCCTGGCTCTGCCTCCCGAGTGCTAGGATTAAAGGCGTGTGCCACCGCCGCTACTTTCTATATTCTCTTGTTCCTTGAAGTTTAAGTGTCACTCATTTCAGTGACTGCCTCTTGTGGAGAAAGCTCAGAGGAGTCTGTATTTGTCGGTGTGTTCATTGTTCTTGTTCTCTTTGAGCTAGAATACTGCTGTGCAGCTTCAGCTGGCTTAGGACTTAAGATGTCTTCTACTTCAGCCCTCCTGAGTCCTGGAGTTATACATGTGCACCATCACATCTAGCAAAGTGAAACCAGAAACCTCATGTGACTGTCTTGATTATTTGCTTAGTTTTTCTGGGGTACAGCATCTTAATTCTTTACTTTTTTTCTTTCTTCTTTCTTTCTTTTTTTTTTTTAAAAAGCTGAAGCAGTGTCAGATTTGAGATCCTCCTGCCTCAACCCTCTGAGTGTAAGGTTTACATGCCACTGGTACATGTTAATTCCTTGATAAGTGTCACTAAAGACTTTTTTTTTCAAGCATTTCATATGACTCAGTGGGCAAGTATGGGATTTGGAAAGTCCTGTGAAAGTAATGAAAGTAACATTGTGTGGGGGTTTTTGCAGACTTTGTAATTTTCTTCTGGAAAACCCAGATTATCCAAAGAGAGAAGACCGAATTATTATCCACCCTAGCAGCAGCCTGCTTGCCAGCCAGGATGATGTGAAGGCAAGTATCCCTGGTGGCTTTGCCACTTGAACCCGATCTCCTCTATTGATGATGCCTTCTTGTCATCTTGAAGGCAACAAAGTGCTGTTAGCACAGAGTTTTAAAGGCAATGAGGGAAAATAGGATTTCAGAATGTTTGTAGACCTCCCTGGAAATCTCTCTGGGCTCCTTTCTTACATTGTTACTTTTATCTTCCCATTTCCTTAAAAAAATTAAGCAAATCCCTGTGCCTTTAATCCTACAGAACAAGTGCCTAACATGGGAAAAGAATTGGCCAAGCTGCTCTCTGTTGTTCTAATTGGTTTTTTTGTTTGTTTGTTTGTTTGTTTGTTTGTTTGTTTCTTTTTTGAGACAAGGTTTCTATGTAGCTTTGGAACCTGTCCTGGAACTTACTCTGTAGATCAGGCTGGCCTTGAGCTCACAGAGATCCACCTGTCTCTGCCTCCCAAGTGCTGGGATTAAAGGAGAGCTCCACCACTACCTGGCTAGTTTGTTTTTCTTAATGTTTTGTAATTGTGAATTTGTATAAAAATTGAAATACTTTGCATAAATTGTTGGTATACCTACCACTAGGACTACTACAATTTTAATTTCTTTGTACTACTACAGTTTTATCATAGCCACTCTTATATCTCCATTTATTAGAATACTTTCATCCTAAGTTGCAAAAACATTACTACACTTCTCTGCAAATACTTCAACATGCAGATAGCCATCCTTACAAGATTTGTGTCCAGCCTATTGGGCCAAATCCCATGTTAAGATGTCAAAAATTTCAAAACTTTAATTATTAGCCAATAATTGTGATCTAAGCTAATGTTAAGTATATTTTTGTGGTTCAGTCTCTTCCTCCCTTGAGATTAGGGGTTTGGTTTTGGAGTTTATTTTTGGAGAGAGATGAGTTCTTAAGGTGTAGCCTCTGCTGATCTTGTACTTATCACCACCCTCACCCCTACCCGCCTCAGCCTTCTGAGTGCCAGAAATACAGACATGTATTGCCATGTCCAAGCTTATCCACCACTTCATTTTTGTCTCAGTTTGATTACCTCCTTAATAAATACAAGAACAAACAAGGTTCTTTCCTGTAATATATACTTCTTAAAAGATTTATTTGTTTGGTTAGTTGGTTGGTTGGTTTGGTTTTTTTGAGACAGGGTTTCAGTGTATATCCCTGGCTGTCCTAGAACTAGCTCTGTAGCCCAGCCTGGCCTGGAACTCAGAGATAGCACCTGCCTCTGCATCCCAAGTGCTGGGATTAAAAGCAGGTGCCACCACCGCTCAGCTTATTTGTTGTTTTTTGTGTGTGTATATGTGCACCATGGTGTGCATGCAGTTAGCCATGGGAACCAGAAGATAGCATTGGATTCCCTAAAACTGGGGTTACAAGTAGCTATGAATTGTCTGGTCCTGGGAATCAAACCCAGCTCCTGGAAGAACAGCAAATACTCTTTAACTGTTAAGCCTTCTCTCCAGACCCTGTTATTTATAATTTGTAGAGCACTTTCTCCCTTGTGGAGGAATGTGCTCTCACCTCTAACTTTATGATTTTTGTCTCATTTCAGTTGCCTAAAGTAGACTTTTTTGACTATTCCAAATTGACTCCACTTGACCAGCGATGCTTCATCCAAGCTGCTGACCTCTTGATGGCTGATTTCAAGATGCTCAGCAGCCAGGACATAAAGTGGGCCCTACATGAGCTCAAAGGACACTATGCAATCACCCGAAAGGTACGCCCTTGGGCTTCCTTTTTGGGGTCAATCCTTAATTCTCCTGCAAAGACACAAGGTGTATAGATTACAGAGGATGGGGTGGCTTGTGATGACAAACAGCTTCAGAGTTTGCCAGGGGAAGTAGTTGCTGATCAGGAAGCACTAATGAGAAGAAATGCTACTAAAAAGCAGGGAATCCCACATCTCCATAAGGCCCTACAGGATGATATTTGTACTGTAGAAAGGAGGGTGCCTGGAATGTGATGTGTGTCTACTCACTTCATAGCTTGTTTGATTATACCAAGATCTAAATGAAACATGTTAAGAGCCATTGGTTACTAAGTCTTTTATCTATAGGTTCTCAATGTCTCATTCCTGCTTTGTTTTTTTCTTGAAACTTGTTTGTTGAAGAAAAAAAGAGTGGTTCATCCCATAGGTTTCAAGAGTCTGGATTTTTGTCAACTGTACCCCTGGGTATCATCTGATGGTCCTTATGTTCCCTGTATTTTTTCTAAATTTCTAGATCTTGAATCTGATGAAATGTAGAGGTGATTCATTTTTCTCTCTCTGAATTCAGACATTAAGGTTCTGCTGCTTACTAGTCTGTGGTTTGAGCGAGTGTCTGGTACACACTAAGCTTCAGTTTCTTGCAGTATAGAAAGGATCTCTAACACATCCATTAGAAGAACTGGATAATAGTGTAGGGCTATGACCTTGTGCCTGGCTCATGGAGGGTTTCAGTAAACAAGTTTGTGCCTTAACACTCTTAAATGTCTCTGACTCCAGTCCCAAGGGATCTAACACCCTCTCTGGCCTTTGAGAGCACTGTATGTATGTGGTGCCCAGACATACATGTGGACAGAGCACCCATGCACATAACATAAAAATAAGTCGTTTTGTTTTGAGACAAGGTTTCTCCATGTAGCCCTGGCTGTCCTGGAACTAACTCTGTAGACCAGACTGGCCTCGAACTCACAGAGATCAGCCTGCTACCACTGCCTGGCTGACTATGCGGTTTTGAAGTGGCAAGCTAAAGGCTTCTGCTCTCTTGAGGCAGCTTAGCTCTTTAGTCTGTTTTGTAGCATTTACCTTCATGATTTGAGAATAGGCTTATGCTTAACGGGTCGTTTTGAAAACTGTTCACAGTTCTCTCATGGTGATAAGGAGGTCTTAACACTTTTTTTTTAAAAGACAGTCTTATTGTGTGGCTTGGAACTTGTATAGACCTACTAGTCTTGATACCCCTGCTTCTACCTCCCAAATGGTGGGATTAAAGGAATGTACCGCCTCACCTTACTTGCTTTGGGAAAAGGAGGTCTCACTGTAGGGTTCTGGTTGGCCTGAAATTTGCTTTGTAGATCAGGCTGACTTCAAACAGATCTGCCTACCACTGACTTGGAAGTGCTGGAATTAAACCTGGTTTACACACCCTTTTTGGTATATATACTTTTTGACAAATCTCTGGGGTTTTGTTTTTTTTCTTTTCTTTTCTTTTTTAATTTTTTTTTAACCAGCATTGTTTTTTTGTTTGGTTTGGTTTGGTTTTTTTTGAAACAAGGTTTCTTTGTATAGCCTTGGCTATCCTGGAACTCCCTCTGTAGACCATGTAGATACCCCTGCCTCTGCCTCCTGAGTACTAGGATTAAAAGTGTGCATCACTATTGCCCAGCTTCAGGATTTTATTTATTAAGACTTGAGTTTGGGAATATATTTGTTACTAGGACAAATAATGTACGCTTTACTATGTTTTCTTTCTTGAGTTTTGGGGGCGGGGGTTGTAGTTAAAATTAAGGATGGTGGTGATGGTAGCAGCATTAGGCTAGATATACTCTTCAGCAAGAGGCAGAGGCAAGAAAGCAAAAAGGCAGTAGCTTTTCCCTTGAACCTACTTATATCTGGGCCATTGCTGGAAGGTGTTGCCCACTCTGGCGAAGGGTCTCCTCCTCTCAGTTAATTTCATAGGAATTTCTTTCAGAAAATACCCTTACACATCCATCTTCCCAGAGGCTTTTCTTTTAGTTGATTCCAGATTCAACCAAGATTGACTAGGATGGCTGTTTTCTTGATTTGTGTTCTCAAGCCTGTGAGCTTTACCAGCTTGGAAATTGATTCCCTCTTCAGCTTTTTTCTCAGTTATTCTGTAGATGTGACTATCTCATTGAGGCTGTTCATTGCCTGCCCTAGCCTATGTGCCGGGAATATGAAAGGAACATTTAAGGCCACTAATGGAGCAGGCCATCTTTTAATCTATTCTGTAACTTGGTCTCTCTCCATGTGTCCACTCCCCAGGCTTCCAAATTTTCTCCTGCCATGTAACTTTAATAGTCATCTTGGCTTTTGTGTGAGTGCCATGTTCCCACCTTTACCCATCCTCTCTACCTGTCCCTTATTTAAGGCATCAACATCCCTATTTGTACTGTTGCTCATTCTCTCTCTTCTCTGAGACAGGGGCTTGCTATGTAGCCTCATCTAGCCTGAAACTCAGGATCCTTCTGCCCCAGTGGTCCCCAACCCCAAGTGTTAGGAATACAGTTGTACACCACCAAGCCTCTTGGTAGCTTTTTTTTTTTTTTTTTTTTTTTTAATCTTCTAGATATTCCTTAAGGTAACTTTGGCCATTATTTTAAATGTCTTAAAAGCCTTACCAGACTGACTGTATGCCTGACTTATAACTGTGAAGTGAGTGGCTATTCAATTTAAAAATGTAAATAAACTCAGGGAAAAGATTAGACAGTAGGTAAAAGAGCATTATTTTTGAGCTCCTAGGCAGATCTTTTCGATTCCTTACTTCCTAGTGTGCACCTAGGCTGACCCTGAAGATCTGGGGATCAGTAGAACACAAAGTAGGGTTAAGAGTGGAGCTCAGGCCGGGCGGTGGTGGCGCACGCCTTTAATCCCAGCACTCGGGAGGCAGAGGCAGGCGGATCTCTGTGAGTTCGAGGCCAGCCTGGACTACCAAGTGAGTCCCAGGAAAGGCGGAAAGCTACCCAGAGAACCCCTGTCTCAAAAAACAAAAAAAAAAAAAAAAAAAGAGTGGAGCTCAGTGGGAAACTATGCCTGCCATGTACAAGGTCCCACGTTCCATCCCCAGCACTATTAAAAAGAACAAGAATAAAGAAAGAAAACTAGGACACAGGGTAGCTTCCTTCTAAAGAGCTTTCAGTCTGTTTGGGGGCACAGTGTGCTAACTGCTCTAAAGGTAAATAAGAGAGCTGGGAAGCTGAGACGTCACTAGAGCAGAGCCTTGATGGAAAGATGCTTTCACCACAGCCATGATACAGATGGCTAAGAGGCAAGAAAGTAACCTAGTGCCTAAGTGTATAGACACAGGTCACAAGGCATTCTTACTCTTACTCTGTAATCTGATTATATCTGGTCTCCATAATTAGGCGTTTGGCCAACTGTAAGTGCTGATTACTAATACAACTGTTAAAGTGAGAACTCGGAGACTAATTTATAATATATGATATTTTAAAAGACATAGTTTCCTGACTAGTACTAAATGTTCATTTTAAGTGGGACTTTCCCACCTAATGAAATAATAGCCCCTCTAGGGCTCCAGTCTAGAGCCTTTTCCTCCCATTGTTAGAAGCCACCAAGCTCGGGCACCACCATTCAGGAGCTCTGAGCTCACCTTCCAAATAGCACCTTTGCTTTAATGGCCTCACTTGCAAATTGTCATTATGGTCAGAATTTTAGCAAATAGCTCTAGTTCAAAGGTGGAATGTTTAGCTTTGGGTAAAGTTAATGAATCTTTGTTTGTTTGTTTGTTTTTGGTTTTTTGAGACAGGGTTTCTCTGTGTATCCCTGGCTGTCCTGAAAGTTACTATGCAGACCAGGATGGCCTTGAACTCACTGAGATCCATCTGCCTCTGCCTCCCAAGTGCTGGGATTAAAGGCAGGCAATGAATCTTTTTTTTTTTTTTTAAATCATGTAAAAGCTGAGTTGTGGTGGCACACACTTAACCCTAGCACTTGTGAGACAGAGACAGGCAGATCTCTGAGTTCAGGCCAGCTTGGTCTACAGAGCTAGTTCCAGGACAGCCAGGCGTACAACAAAGAAATCCTGTCTTGAAAAACCAAAAGGGAAAAATGTGCATGAGTGTTTTGCCTGCATATATGTCTATGTACCACATGCATGCCTGGTGCCAGTGGAGGCTAGAAGAAGGTGTCAGATTCCCTGGAGTTACAGACAGTTGTGAGCTACCATGTTAGTGCTGTGAGTCAGACCCCTTAACTACTGAGTCGCCTTTATAGTCCAAAGTTGATAAATCATAATAAATATTCTTGCAGCTGAGTACTAAGATGTGACTTTAAGGTTGATGCATGAGGGTTTAGAAATTCCAGAAAGAGGAAATGGGAAGTTCTACAGCCAAAGGAGAGCAGAAAGGTAGCATGATGGGTGTTTGCCCTTTGCAGGCTTTGGTGGGGTTTCTGTCTGAGAATGAGTTGGCATTGTCAAAGAGGGGAACTTCAGTTCCTAGACTACACTCTCTGCAAATAAATCTAGCCTTCTTGAGGTTTAACTTGAGCTAGCCCTTACACTCTAAACCTTGCTTTCAGCTCTTGGAAAGTCCTACAAAAGAGGTAGAAGTAGAGTACGGTGGAAGGTGCCACTTCTGTCAGCTAAATAAATGCTTGTTTTTCTTTTGATACATCAACATGAGTATGTTCTTCCCCCAAGATGAACAGATTCTAAATGTGCATTTTAGCCTATGGCACAGACATCTCTTGTTTGTTTATCTCCATATAAGTGATGCATACAAACTGCAGGTTAACAAGGGTGTGCATGAGCTATGCAACATTCTCTGTCCTCCAGAGGCTCACAGTCTGGTGGAGGAAATGACTTGAAGCAGTGAAGCAAACAAATAATTATGTTGTTAATGACTGAGATGTACTCTGAAAAGAAAAATACAGTATGTTTACAGAGAACACAACAGGAAGCATGGAAGAAGACTGTAGTGTTATCTGTTAGAGGGAGGAAAATTGAAAAGAACTGGCTTACAGGGAAAGAATAAGATACCACTCTAATGAGTAGTGTTTGTGAAGCAGCCTATTTATTAGGTGGTTGAATGGACAGAAAAGGTTAGGGAAATGGCTAGAGATGAGATTTTTAAGAGTTACCAGTTTGCAGAAGCAAACCTGCATTGTGATATCTAGAGTTATCCGTCCGGTAAAGAGAACTCACACATGGGGGTGGGCTAGCAGAGGAATGAGGAAGAGTAGGTGGGAGTATTAGCACATGTACACTGCCAGGGAGGTCAGGGAGATGAGGACTCAAGTGGAGGGGTGTGCTTGACCCTTCCATTAGTATACGCATTGAATAGAAGTTGGGTCAGAAGCATGGCCTCTGTGAGTTTTGTTCATGCCCATGGGAGGGAAGAGGTTGAAACGGCACAAAGAGGTGAAGAGGGGTGAGGCTAAGAGCAGAAAGGGGAATGAGATCTTTTTAAGTGCTGATAGGAAACATCTAAGAAATGAGGAAGAAGCTGGAGTTGGAAGGAAAATGATAGACGCTGGCTTAAGGATTTCAGACTGCAGCATTTTGTAGAAAGCATTTTGTTGTTGTCACACTGGGCAGAGCTGCCACTGTGAGGGAAGATGAGATTCAAAGATTGCCTTTATATTTGTTCTTTATATTTATGATGGTAACCTTTCCTTTTCTCAATTTTTAGGCCTTTTCTGATGCTATTAAAAAATGGCAGGAGCTATCACCTGAAGCCAGTGGAAAACGGAAAAAGAGGAAAGAAATGAATCAGTATTCTTTCATAGATTTCAAATTTGAACAAGGTAATGGGAAGCTGAGTGTCAGCGATACCGTGTAAAGTTGTAATTTGGTACCTTTTTGGTGAGGCAGCTGAAGCGGGGCACAGTGTATTTGCTGTTTACAGCGGCCCAATAAGTGCAAGAGTAACTGATTAGGACCATTTGGACAGCACATCAAAATTTATAGACAGTAGCTGCAGTTGTTGACTTCCTCTTTCCTTAGGTACGTTATAGCAGGAAAAGCCTGTGCAGTGGAGAATTTTGTGTATGGACTAACTGGAAATGATGCTAATCATAAACACTGTTCTTGAGATGTCAGAATTGGCTGTATAGTTGTACCAACCTTATTCACTCATCAGTTCATGATTAATTGCTATAGAGAGCCAGTTTTGTACCTGATAGCATCACTGGTAGCCAGATTTTTATAAAATCTCTTTATTCCTTTTGGAATAACTGCAGTAAGTCTCTCAAAGAAATCACCTGGGGTCTGAGCCCCCCTCACACACAGACTGCAGGATTTTGTAACATTCCATGTGACTTGATTGTATCAACAAAGGAATTCACTGCTCTTTAGCCACATCACAAATAGGAAAGTTAGTTGCCTTCTCCTATTTGACTTTTGTTACATGTGTGTTTCCAAAGCTTCATTCCAAGTTTATCTAAATAAAAATGAGAAAGGTTTTGGATTCATGAATTCTTCATTCTAGCTCTCATTCTCTGAGGCTGTGACTCAGGGGTCAGGTCCCTCAGCAGTCTGTGGAGCAGTGCCTTTGTGACAGTCTCACTCGTCTCTGGTTATGATGTAGGTGTCTCTCACTCAGCTAAACTAATGCAGTTTCTGTCATCCCTAAGATGTAGTCAAAAGGCTGTTGTTTCTGGTGTTCAGTAGTGGAGAGCATGTTCCTTGCAATATGTTTTACCCCCTTGTTGGCCAGCTCTGTCTTTCACAAAGCTCTTCTTTATATCATGAAAAAATACACTTCATGAAACTTCTTGACACAGCTGCAGGTCATATGGTTGAAAAGAAAGGAAAACAAACAAACAACAACAACAAAAAACCAAGTGTAAAAGGGCTGAGTATCTTACCATTTCATCTACGTGTAGATGAGCTGTGATTCCAATCCTGGTGATCTGACTTCACAGCTGATTCTTAACACTATGCTTCACTATCCCTAAAGCAAAAGACTGGATTTCAAATCAGAAGTTTACATTTGTTTGTTTGTTTTTCTGAGACAGGGTTATTCTGTATATCCCTGGCTGTCCTAGAACTAGCTGTGTAGACCAGGCTAACCTCAAATTCAGAGATCTGCCTGCCTCTGCCTCCTGAGTGCTGGGATTAAAGACGTGCACCACCACATCTGCAGAAGTTTACATTTTTAAAAGCTTAAGAAGAATAAGAGGAAAAGAGGATAAATAAATGAGGAACCAGACAATAAATACTGTTAAAATTAAAAGATTGTCAAGAATAAGCCAGTAGTAATTGATTATCTGTATGTAATCATTTTCTAGGCAAATTAACAGGCGAAAACAATGCCTGAACAGGCCACTTTCTCTGGATTTTTTTTGGGGGGGGGAGGGTTTCGAGACAGGGTTTCTCTGTGTAGCTTTGCACCTTTCCTGGAACTCACTTGGTAGCCCAGGCTGGCCTCGAACTCACAAAGATCCGCCTGCGTCTGCCTCCCGAGTGCTGGGATTAAAGGCGTGCGCCACCACCGCCCAGCTTGAAGATTTCACTATTAAAAGTTTAACATATAGCCAGGTGGTGGTGGCACACGCCTTTAATGCCAGCACTTGGGAGGCAGAGACAAGTGAATCTCTGAGTTCCAGACTAACCAGGTCCACCAGGTGAGTTTCAGTACAGCCAGAGCTACACAGAGAAACCCTGTCTTGAAAAATAAAAAAGTTTAACATGCATAAAGTATGTTTGGATCTTGCCACAGTTTCTGGAAAAAAAAAATCTGGTAATATCAGGTATGGACAAGGATATGAAGCAAATGGAACCCATACATTGCTGTTGGATGGGGGTTATATATTGGAAAGACCATTTTGGGAAACCTGCAGTTATATTCTAGAGCTTAATGTAAGCTTGTCCTAACTTTCCTGTAAGCCCAGGTCTGACTGGCAGGTTGACCATTAAAAAAACACAGGGCATTCCAGCTATATCTATAATAGCTCAGAACTGTAAAGACACAGTTCTTATATGGGTAATAAACTGTATCCTCTGGGGCTGGAGAGATGGCTCAGAGGTTAAGAGCACTGACTGCTCCTCCAGAAAACCTGGGCTCAATTCCCAGCACCCACATGGCAGCTTAGAACTATAACTCTCATTCCAGGGCTTCTGACCCTCTCATGCTGGCAAAACACCAATGAACATGAAAAAATATATATAAATAAATAAAAATAAACTGAATGCTCACCTAGTTCAGTGCTGTCAGAGTAGGTGAGACTTTGCAGTTGGTGCTCACAAAGAAAAAAGTGAGGAAGGACAAAAAGCCTTAACCACAGATTAAGCATAAGGCACAAGGTCTCAACTGTGAGATGAATTGTAGGAAGCCATAGTGTCCTGCCACAGGGCTGGTGGGGTGGTGCTAAGTTGTAGAAGACAGAATAGTTGGCCTGTATTCCTAGTGAACAGTTGGCCATGTGATTTCACTTTGTTACATCTTCTAGGTAACGTAAAAATAGAAAAGAGGATGTTCTTTCTGGAAAACAAGCGTCGACATTGTAGATCTTATGACCAGCAGGCCCTCCTTCCAGCTGTACAGCAAGAGCAGGAATTCTATGAGCAGAAAATCAAAGAGATGGCAGAGGTAAGAAGCTGTGTTCTGATCTTAGAATGTGGTTCTAAAGTTCTAGTTTGCTCCCCATTAGGATGTGGTACATGGCTGGCTTTTTTAAGAGTTCCTTTGGATGCTAGGGATATAGCCCAGCTTGGGTTCCATTACTAATAGCACACACGGGTTCACTTTTCAAGAAAGTATGATTGTTCAAGCCTCTAAGTCTAGCACTAAAAGCTAAGACAGGAGGAACTTGAATTGGAGGGTTTGTTTATTCCCCCATTCCCCTATACTGGGGATTAAGCCAGCAGTTAGCATTCTACCACTGAGCTACAACATCCAGCCCAAATTTTCCCTTTTTAAAATTGATTACATGGTAAAGTTTGCTTTTAGGTTTTGGTGTTTTGAGACAAGGTCATGCTGTAAACCAGTCTGTCCTGGTACTAAATATGTGATCCAGACTGGTACTGAATTCCACCTCCATTATTCTACCTGCTTAGGTAACAGACCTGCACCACTACACCCAGCTCACAACAAAGTTTTTGTTTTTGAGTTTTTGTTTTGTTTGTTCTCTTCTCACTACATCTTTTGACGAGTTATTTATTTTTTATTTGCTTTTTTATGGAATGAAACAAGTTTTATTACTTCATGAAGCAAGCTTTTCTTTTGTGGTGAGTTTCTTCTCTTCAGGTTTGTTTTCAGCACAGCAAAGGTTTTAAACAGAAAACAAAATTATATTTTGTAATAATGCTGTCTAACTTCATGGTTTCATGAATCAAATTGATATTAGAGATTAGGGTTTTTTTTTTTACTATTTTGTATTGCATTTATTTACTGGACATGTGTATGTTTGTGGGCACATGTGTACCATGACATGTAAGATGTGTCTTCACTCCCTTCAGACACAAATGGTGAAGAAGAAAAAAAAAGATGAATCTCATTTAGCTCTATAACTTTCCCAAATATTACTAAACATTCAATTCAGTTGGAATACACATACATTAATTATTTAATAAAAATCTAGGCTCTGGTGGTACCAGGTTCTGAGTTCACAGAGACCCAAGCCTATGAGGTCATATTTTTTTGTTTTGTTTTGTTTTGTTTTGGGGATTTTTGTTTGATTGTTGTTGTATTGGTTTTTTGTTGTTGTTGTTTTGTTTTGTTTTGTTTTATTTTGAGAAAGGGTCTCCCTATGTAGTTCTTCCTGTACTGGAACTCTCTATATAGATGTGACTGGCTTTGAACTCACAGAGATAAACTTTCCTCTCCCTGGGATTAAAGGTGTATACCACCTTGTCCCACTGAGGTCATATTTCTTACAAGGATAGATAGAATTTGCTTTTTATTTATTTATTTATTTATTTATTTTTAATGTGTTAAATTTGTAGCAATAGAAAAAAAGTGGTGACCTAGCAGTCTCCCTGTACTCATATGTTTTAAGATACCAGTCTTATCTATGTGTGGTGATGTAATCCCAGCTACCCTGGAGACTGAGGCCAAGAATTAATAAAAGTTCAAGGCTACCCTAGATAATTTAGTGAGAGAGAGCCAAGGATGTGGCTGAATGGGAGAGCATTTGATTTAGCATGTGTGAGATGGTCCTATGTTTGGTTCCCGGGCCACTGAGAAAATAATTGAATATGCTGATATTAGTCGGGTGTGGGGCTTACACCTGCAGCCCTAGCACATGGGAGACTAAGGCAGGGGATCACAAGCACAAGGCCATCCTGAGCTATATACTAAGATCCTGTCTCCAAGAAAAAGTAAAAAGAAAAACTACTTTCACATGGGCATATCTTTGGTAAAGCAGTCAAAGTTAGTGTTTGTTTTTTCTTTAAATTTTGAAGTAATTCTATGCAACAACAACAACAAAAAAAAAAAAAAAAAAAAAAAAAAACGAAAAATGCACCAGCACTCAGGAGGCAGAAGCAGGTGTATCTCTGTGAGTTCAAGGCCAGCCAGGTCTATTAAGAGTTTCAGGAAAGGCAGGCTGTTATACAAAGAAACTCTATCTTGAAAAACCAAAAAAAGAAGAAATGATTGCAGCATCTGGACATAAGAACTGATCCTGAGGAGAGGCCCTTGTCAACTGAGTTGAAAATAGCTGAATCAGCATTCTTTCTCCCCCACCCCCACCCCCTTATTATTTCTCTACCACTCACAGAATACCAGTTTTACTTTAAAGAAAACAACTGGAAAATTATGATTAATTAATATTAGTATTTGGGTGGACACTGTCTCAAAATGAAGTGATAGTTTGTATATATTGATAAAAATTCTACATCTCAAGCAAACATTAGAATTTGAAGAAAGTTTTCATCTTGATATATCCACCAGAGTCACCTTTATTAATACCACCATGGAGGGTTGCAGAGATAGCTCAGAGATTAAGAGCCCCGGCTGCTCTCCCAAAGGACTTAGATTTAATTCCCAGCACCCACGTGGTGGCTCCAACTATCTGTAACTCCATTCCCAGGGGATCTGATGCCTTCCTCTGGCCCTCTGTGGGTACCAGGCACACACATGATACACAGACGTGCTTGTAGGAAATACAACCCATACACATAAAAATCACTACAGAGCTCATCCGAAAATGATTTAGAGAATTAATGGATTCTCTGTTACTTGTAGTCATTTTTAACCTTATATCCAAGTTATCATCTGGCCACATCTGACCTGGTAGTCTCTGACCACATCCTTGCTCTGGTCTCCCTGGCCTTGTTTTTTTTTTTTGGTTTTTCGAGACAGAGTTTCTCTGTGTAGCTTTGCGCCTTTTCCTGGAACTCACTTGGTAGTCCAGGCTGGCCTCTAACTCACAGAGATCCACCTGGCTCTGCCTCCCGAGTGCTGGGATTAAAGGTGTGCGCCACCACCACCCAGCCTCCTGGCCTTGTTTTAGTTAGGGTTTCTATTGCTGTGATGAAATACCATGGAGAAGAAGGGATTTATTTGGTTTATATTACTATATCATCTAAGGAAGTCAAGACAGGAACTCAAATAGGGAAAAAACCTGCAGGCTGGAACTAATACACAGGCCGTGGAGGGGTGCCACTTACTGACTTGCTCATCATTGCTTGCTCAACCTCTTTTCTTATAGAACCCAGGGCCACCAGCCTAGGGATGGTACCACCCACAATGGGTTGGGCCCTTCAGCTAATCACTAATTAAGAAAAATACCCTCAGGCTTGCCTACAGCCAGATCATAGGAAGCATTTACTCAGTTGAGGTCACCTCCTCTCAAATGACTTTAGCCTGTGTCAAGTTGACATAAAACTATCCAGCACAGGCCTAGACCTGAAAATTTCTCCAAAGTGCTTTACTTTCTTTATTGGGAATTGTAGCTAGAGTTTTCCTGCCTTGCCCACAGTCAGGACAAATCTTTGTCACCCGCCAGTCCCACCGCTGCTCAGACCCAACCAAGTAAACACAGACTTATATTGCTTACAAACTGTATGGCCGTGGCAGGCTTCTTGCTAACTGTTCTTAGAGCTTAAATTAATCCATTTCCATAAATCTATACCCTGCCACGTGGCTCGTGGCTTACCGGCGTCTTTACATGCTGCTTGTCCTGGCAGGGACTCCTGCCTTCCTGTTCTTTTATTTTACCTCTCTGTTAGTCCTGCCTATACTTCCTGCCTAGCCACAGCCAATCAGGTTTTATTTATTGACCAATCAGAGCAACTTGACATACAGACCATCCCACAGCACAGCCAAGTGCAGACCATGTCAGACACCTGCACTCAGGCCCGTGGTCCTAATCATCCTCTATGCGGACCTGCTGGGTAAAGCCACGAGGAACCCAAGAACGGGCTCCCACAGGACATACAGAACATCCCACAACAGGGAATTTCATGCTGAGATTTCTGATTAGAATTCAATGTACAGGTTTTATTACTGCCTTTGTTTTATGGTGTGTGTGTGTGTGTGTGTGTGTGTGTGTGTGTGTAAGGATCTTGACTCTTAATCACTTAACATGATTCCTACCACATTTGAAGATTTTTAGAATCACTTGATCCCAGTGATACACACCTACAGCCCCAGATGGGAGGCTGAGTCAGGGGAATCATTTTTACCTCAGAAGCTCAGGGCCAGCCTGAGCACCATAGCAAGACTGCTGCAAAAGAAAAACACAAAACCATAAAGTTGCTAGAAACAATTTTGGTTATGCCATTAACATGAACAGTTATATTAAGGCCACTCCACATAGTTAAGTCAAGAAATGTCCAGAGAGCCCAATTCTTCTCTCACTTCCTCTGTATCTTTACTTACTTTAAGTGATTGCAAATAGGCATGGGTATTTTATTTGTTTCTCTTTCTTATCCAAAAGATAGACTGAAATAATTTTTTTCTGCCCTTTTTTTTTTTT